ATGTATAAAGCCATTTTAGGTAAGCTTCCACTCTACATATGTGCCAGATTTGCTCCAGTTTGTGACTCTTACAAACTCAGATCCAGTGCCTGGATACGGTTCCAGGTTCCTACTGTACGGACTGAGGCTGGAAAAAGGAGTCTTTCTTATTATGGTCCTTGGTCTTGGAATGACCTTCAATCACGCCTTAAACTGAGGGCACTTGTCTCTATTTCATGTTTTAAATTGAAGTTGTCTGAAGTCCTCACCACCAGCTGCTCTTGCAGTAACAAGTAGTGTACTTTTTTTATTGTCCTAATGTGCACAATGTAGTGACTGCTTTTTCGTCTTTTGTTTTCTTTATGTTCTCTGTATTTTATATGTTTGTGTTATGTGTTATGTGTAACGTTGCTGCCTTCTTGGCCAGGTCAGCATTGAAAATGAGATTTTATCTCAATGTTTTTTATCTGGTTAAATAAAGGTTAAAAAAAAAAAAAAAAAAAAAAAAAGACAGACAGACAGACACACACTCTCTCTCTCTCTCACTCTCTCACACACACACACACACACACACACACACACACACAGACACACACAGACACACACACACACACACACACACACACACACACACAGACACACACAGACACACACACACAACACACACACCACACCCACACACACACACCACACACACACACACACACACACACACCACACACACACACCACACACACACACACACACACACACACACACACACACACACACACACACACACACACACACACACACACACACACACAACACACACACACACACACACACACACACACTACAGCACAATTGACTCTTGCAGGCTTGCCTAAAGGAGTTCCCTGTCCTTTTCTTGATGCACTCCCCTGAAGCGCATGGAAAAATGAAACCCATTCTGACTGAAGTTGAAGTTTATTGAAAAGCAGTCAAGCGGTATTTCAGTAATGCAGGTGCACGCATGCACACAGAAATCCCCCTTTGCCTGCCACACACGCTCAGAAACACACATGCATATTTCCCCCATGTATACCCGGGTCTTTGTTCTGTCCCCTGTAGATGGCGGCCTGTGTGGACCGTGGGGGAAAGCCCTCCGTGCTCCTTAAATGTTGTTTTTCTCCACATTACTGTCAAAGTATCCACCAGTGACTGATGATGGATTACATCTCAGCGAGTGCACAGGGTTTTCCCTCAGCCGGTGACTTACAGCAACTCCTCGCCCTCGCTGCTACACTAAACATGCCAAGCGCTGCTCAGGGAATATCACACAGGACCTTTTCGCTCCTTTCTCCTCATGTTCGCTGGTCAGCTGTTTCACAGGAGAGGCACAGAGGGGATATGAGGCATGTGCCTGTGTTTAAAAAGATGTTTTGGTTATATAAGAAATGTTTTCTTCTTCTTTTCAATTTTCAGCAGACCCAATCCTTGTCTTCATTTGTCTTTTTGTGTCAATGGAAATGCACTTACTGCAATTTGGTGTAGTGCCACTCAGTTAGCTTCAGACCCTTCTCTTGGAGTCAGAAAAAGGAAATCGGATGCGGGTAAAAGCCCAGGCAAGGCTCATTTGAAGGAGGAACTGATTGCTGTTTCATTTACCTGAGATGAAAGCTGCTTTACTCTCCACCTTGTGAACAGCAGCAGGAGAAGGAGGAGGCAAACTTTTTCTTATTTCAGTCCAACCTCTTGGAATATTTGTTTACTTTTTTCTTTCATCCTGCGTGCCATTAATCATTGTAGCTCCTGATTTCTGGGTTTTTGTTTGTGTTTTTTTGTGATAATTAGCATCCAAAGCAAGAAAGTGAAATCACACTTTTGCAAACAGTGTGTTACAGCCTACGTTTCCCAGGGCACCTCACTAGCCTCTATAACCTGCTCGGCTCTATGCTGATGTAATAAACGGAAAAACAGAAATGAAAGTTAGTTAAAGGGGCTCCATTATGCTTTTTAGGGATTTTCCCTTTCCTGTAGTGCATAGTTCAGTAGCAGGCGGACCGCGGCCCGGATCCGGACCCGGACCCAGACGGACCCGGACCTATAATCAATAGGCCTACATTAATAGGGGATTTCAATTTTGACGAGGCGATTCTATTTTAACCGCCGCCGACAGGGGGCGAAAGAGACGAGAGTGAGCGATACAGGGAGAGAAACACAGAAGAAGAGATGAGAGAGCGGCAGAGAGAAGCGGAGAGGAGAGAGAGTGAAGAGAAGAGTTAGCGATACAGGGAGAGAAGACGGAGAGGAGAGTGAACAGGCGTGTTAGTGGCAGACAGGGAGAGACAAATAATTACACATGGCGCTCCCCAAGAAGAGGAAAGTGGACAGTGAGAACAGAGCTTTTAACCCTGAGTGGACGGACTCATTCATGTTCATCCTGCCCACTGGGAGCACAGAACCAGTGTGTCTCATTTGTTCAGAGACCGTGGCGCTCATTAAAAGTGCCAATGTGAAACGCCACTATGAGACAAAACACAAAGTGTTTGACCAAACATTCCCTCTCAAGTCAGAACTGAGGTCACAAAAAATAAGCAGTCTCAGAGCCCAATATGATCAGTCCACCAGGATCCAAATTAAAACTAAATATTGTTCCAGGGCAGGCTAACCGAGGCTAACCAATGAGCACCTGCATGTGTGTATGAGAATGGCCCTGACACCATTTCAGCCCAGATTTAAACTCCTGGCAGGACAAGCTCAAGCTCAATTCTCGCACTGAACAAAAAAAACTGAGTGAGGGACTGCAATATAAGAGGGAAAGAAAGAGAAAATGTAAAACTGTTCAATTGTTATGATGTGTAAAGACTGATATTGTTCTATAATCGGCTGAAACTGTTAAGTCATGATGTGAAACGGTTAACAAAGAATAAGGGAAACTCAAGCTGCTGCTACACTTTATTTTATTCATCTAAAATTAAGCACTTTTAAGATGCACACATTTTCAAAAGCAATTATTTATTTTCTCTATTTAATTTTTAAATGCAGCCCGAGAGGAACATTACACATATCCACAGTATTTTACTGTATATCTGTATAGTTCAATGTTAATTGACAATAAATATTGTTGTTTTAGAATTCTTTATTTGATTGGCAGTCAGTTGTTGATTACATGCAGACGTTGATAAAGCTACAGTTACTTCAATATATATCACATTAATTCATAAAGCAAGTTAGACATTTTGATTTTCTGGACCTTTGCATGGGGAGATTTTCTCTAACTGGACCTCGTTGAATTTTAGTTGAATACCCCTGCTGTTGTGTGTTGAGCCCCCCCCCCCCCCCCCCCTGCATGAAACACCTCCATTGGACTCCTCTGTTTACTTCCGTAACATGATGACATCACTATGTAACAGTCGCGCTTCTATTGTCTATCATCTAACACATTGTGTGTGATTTGCTAAGGGGCGGGACACCTCTAAACGGTTGACCAATCACATCAGAGCAGACTGGGCTCTGGTTTCAGACAGAGGGTGAAAAGAGGTGCTGCAGCACAGGCAGTATGAGAAAAATAAAGAGCTTTTTGAACATTAAAGCATGGAGACATGTCACAGTAGAGGCACGAAATACAAATATGAACCTGACAATGAGCATCATAGGGCACCTTTAATAGGTGTGAAAAAAGTACTGAAAAACGGTATTTTATTTATTTAAAAGATTTGGCTTGTCAAATAGTAGCATATTCAACATTAAAGAAAGAATGATTACGTCGTAGAAAATATCATTAATAGTGTTATCAAATGATATGCTGTAAATTTGAATAAACTGTTCCTTTTTATTGCATTCCTTTCAATTTGGGAAGGCTCTGTAATTATATTATATTACCGTGTGTGAATAATGTAGAAGATTATGTTGCAGATTACAGTTTAATCAGGTAATCAGTGATCTGTAACATATTACATCCTAAAAAGTAACATCCCCAGCCCTGGTTATAGCTACCCTCCTCTCCTTTATTATGTCAGGAAATATGCAAATGTCAGGCAATTAAGTCTCTCTGTGTCATTCTGTCTCTTCTCTTCAGCATTCAGTGTTGTTTTTCAAGAGCGGCCGTGACTTTTGTCAAGCATCCGTCTGAGCAAGAGCAAAGATACTTAAGATGGGGAAATTATTCATAACCATTTGCATGCACAAGCACTTAAACCCATTTTGTCTATACAAACACACATTTTGTCACCGTGCACATAATGTATTGCACATTTAAGATAAGCTCAAATATGGAAACGGGAATATAAACTTAAATCCAGGTCATATTCAGCCCGTTCTTCCACTCTCAGACGCCTGGCTAAATAATTCAGCACCTGGTTGTCTGTGTGGTGGAAGAGGTGAAGCCTGTCAGATACTCAAATAAGTTATTAATTTTCAATTTTCGAACGCTTTAGATGCACTTCATCATCCTGTTAACAATTTTCCCGTGAAGCGTGACTGATTTCCTTCCAAACAATGATTTTTCTGAAGAATTCAATTTCCTGCACCCGTTGCTGCTCTCCCTACAATAGTTTCCACTCGTCTTTATTTATTGCTGAGGTGTATTAACTTTGCGGTGCCTATTGTTTAAAGTTTACTTGCAATACGCTTCAATCTCACCTTTTCCTCCCCAAACTCACTACTTTAATTCATACAACTATATTAGACTGACCTTGTAAATACTTCTCTTTCTTTCTGTGTGTGTGTGCAATTTTTAATTATCTGTTGGTCGCAATACAAAAAGCATGTCTTTTATTTACAGTTATATTCACCTTCCCTTTGTGAACACACTTTTCAAAGCATAATCTTGTTTTTTTTATCATCCTTCCTAACTATCATGTCTTTTCTGTCTTTCAGGTATTTGTCGCTCTAAACATTTCTCTGGAGGTTCGAGACCTTGTATGGCCGTCTCGATCACTCTCCTTTTTTTCTTTAACAAAAGCCTTTTCTCCTCTATTTCCACCGGAACATCATTGAAGAACTGTGTCTCTATAATGTCAGCTGAACTCATATGACCCCTCATGTCTCCCACGCAGACCCTCCCACGGTGGAGCCAGTTTACATGGAGATGCGTCAGGGCCTGGGCCGGCCCGTGGTGATGACCTGCAGGGTGCTGCGAGCCCACCCCTCCCGCGTGCTGCGATTCGAGTGGCTCCTGTCGAACCGGCTGCTCCACGCTGGAGCCTTCGACGCCCAGAGAGACGAAACGGAGTACACCATCCGCAGCCTGAATCGAGACGGGTGGGGGGAGTACACGTGTAACGTCATAAACGAGGCGGGAGCAGGAAAATGCACCTTCCAGGTTACAGGTAAATAGACGTGTTAAGCAATTGACCAGTTGCTAAGCACCTTTATACTGATGCTAAACCTGTTAACCTTTCTGGCCCTACACATGTTATTTATAATAATATAAGTGGAACATTTTCTTACTTGAACAATTAGTCCTTGATTTTAGACAAAAGCTGCTTCTCAATTCTAGTCGGTTATTGAAGACTTTTCCGCCTGAATATAGCAGATTTTATCAGCTGCAGCTAGCTAGCTAATTGAGCTAACATTAGCTCTATGAGTTGAAAACACTGTCTTTGGTTGACTATTCAATTTTTCTTCTACTTTTTAAATAAGAACCTTGTAAAAAGGCTATCATTCTCACATACTGAAATTAGAGGTGCGTGTCCTCATGAGTTGATTATCTACGTAGACATTTTTTTAAATATAGAGCAGATCTTCTGTGGTCTACAATTTCATACTGACGTAACCCACTTGGCTTCTTACCTTTCCTACTTTGAAAAGCCAGACATAGCTTGATTGTTCATATTTAATGTTACAGAGAAAAAGCTTTTAGGATGAGGACTAACCAATGTTTTTGGTGAAAGTAACGCTGTCTCCGATAATTAGTTTGGAAGGGGATGCTGCAGAAAATAAGTAAAGACACACTATTGTTAGCACTCTGATAGTAGCATCCAGTAGGCTTTTGCACAGCAGATGTGCTATTGTGAATTTTTTCAAGTAACTTTTAACCCTACAACAAGTATTATGTAACATTTCCTCGCCTTGAATGTAACACTGAGTTATTTCTGTGGGAAGTTAGCTTAACTAGCCCGTATGCTAATATGCGCACCTCATATTAGAGCCCACAACTGGTAAATCCATTCCTTGCACTTTTGTTTTGTCCATTTTTTAACACACCACACTCAAAACTCCTTAAATGTCTCCTAAAAGCCTAGCTCTGCGTACAGCCCCATGCACGAGTTTCACACCTGCTGTGCTGAGTTACAGATAAAAGGCCATGATTGCAAAGTTGCCGTCAAATTGTTCAAAGTTTCATATCATACAATTACCATAATTCAAAAACTCCTTCAGTATGCACTCCAGCTGGTAATTTGAATGTTCACCGTGAACTTTTTGGACAGCTGAAATTGCTTCCTCAAACATATAACGGTTCTTGTCAGGCTCTGTGTGTGATAGACAATTAATTTTAAAAGAAGAGTGAAAGAAAGGAAACAAAGATAGTCAATCTGAATGGGATACGTCAATCACGTCTGCTCTTTTCTCCGTCTCTTACCTGTTCTTTCAGATAATGCACACTTACGCCCTTCATTGCCTTTCATTTTAGATGGTTCTTTTTTTCATCGGGAACAGAATGTGTCCATCTCCTTGTCCTGTTGTTATGACAGGACTGAATTTGTTTGGTCATGTTGAGTTACCGCAGCAGGCCAAGGTTTCAATCTCCCAGACCTCCCATTAGAGACAGGAGCTACAGGGTCACAGGAGAAGTATCTGTCACTCTGATCCTCTGCCACTTAGGTTCCTCTCTTCTTTGATGCTGTCTGTTTCTCTCAATGTATTGCTGAATCTAAGCGTACCCTCCATTTTTCTATCTCCTCTCTTTCTGTTCTCCTCTCTTTGTCCCGGTTTGCTTTTCCCCGTTTTTCTTATTTCTCATTTCAAACGTCTTTCCCTCCTCCTCCTTTTCCTCAGCTTGCCTAGAGTGTAAGATGGACAACCCCCCCTGTGCGCTTCATAAATCAGTCCTCCATGGTGGAACAGGTAGAGCAGAGAGACAGGAGCAGATAGTCCCCTCCAGTCATTTGTTTTTCACAACAGGCCTGGAGTTTTACGTGCTATTGCTCATGCCCCCTCCCTCCCTCCTCCCCCCTTCCCTCCCTTTCATCCTCCATCCCTCCTACCTTCTCTCTCCCTTCATCACTCCATTCCTCCCGCCCAATGCTCCAGATTCCCACCATCTGGACTCATTGGTTGCCAAAGGTATGGAGGCTCTTTTAGTAACCCCCTGAGTGAAGGAGCATGGTGCAGAAAATCCACTTTTGTTCCTCCCATCATCCATGAAATCTGGCCTGCCCCATTCCCTTAACTCCAGTTCCTATTCTTTAAGATTTCTACGTTTTATTCCATTGTGTAACTCACCAGCCTCAGTATGAGATCAACATTACTCTGCAGTTTGACTGAAATAACTACTGGAGAGGATATCAACACCTCTCTATGACTTGTGAGTCCACTTCAAGATGAAGCTCATTAAATATTTGTTATGGCTCATGCAGTTAGGTGGTGTCTTGGGTTGCTCACTTAACAGAGAGAAGACAGGTAGCCCTCAGTGGATATCCCCTCCCCCCCCCCCCCCCCGCCTGACTTCCTCTTGTGCTGTGTTGATGTGTAATAAACACATCAGTCAGTAGCTCTGGCCTGAGGCTGCAGTTGCTCCATTAAACACACAGGTCCAGTCAACTTACTATGCAGAAAAACATACATGTTACCATGTTGACGGACACATGCAAAATCTCCCAATTCATGCATTAGTCTTTTCTTGTGCTTTATATAAATGTTGTCGCCTCACAAAGAGTGCTGTGCCAGGGGAGAGTGTGTGTGCATGTGCATGGATGCCCATGTGCCAGGCCATCAGGACATCTGTGGAAACAGCGAGTCGGCTGTAATAGCCAAGTTGGACATTAAATTGTGCCAGGGGAGAGACCCCTCAGAGGGATGTAATGTGTACCACTGAGCTTTGGCTCAGCCTCCCTCTCTGGGGAACCCTGACTTTTTAGCAAAATCATGCTCTTCTAAAGAGTTAGAGTTGGGACGTAAAGAAAAGAAACTGTCTTTGAAACTCCACGCTGCTTTTCTTCTCTGATTCCATTCCAGTCTGCTGCAGTATGATTTATGCACTAGTCTGCATTTACTACACATCCTGTCCTCAGGCTGCAAATGTGTACTGATGAAGCAGTGACGGGATGGATCACAGGTCACAGAATACACAGATATTGAATTTAAAGATGTATTGCCTCAATGTATTATTGCACTTCATAAAGTTTATGGACTCAAATAAGTGAGGTTTTAAAAAAAATGGTTTACATTAAAGCAGCAGAGGCTAAGTTATTCCATCTTTCAGCCCAGAGCCTGAGCTACAGTACACTCTGAACACCCTGGCTCCTACAGATCCCATTATGCAACTCTATAGCATATTTTACCAGACCCCAAACCTTCTATATGCCCACTTCTGCCAAACTTCCAGTATGCATCACAGGCTTTGCATTACAGTTTTCAAATGAAAGCGAAGAAAATATTATAGGGGTTATTTTAAACGTTAGAAACTCCCTCCAGAGCTAAATTATACAATTTACACATTGTGTACAGGCTAAGTAGGACTAACATAAACCTGAATCTAGGGCTGTGCAATTAATCGTATTTTAATCGCAATTACGATTTTGGCCTGCCACAATTACGAAAACAACATAATCGAATAAAACAATTATTTTGCTTTGCTAGGTTGTGACAGTGCACTGCAACATATTTGATCTAATTTATTTTGGTCTAATTTATTTGTATTTATCATATTTATATATGATAAGTAGCTTTTGGAAGTGCGCTCCAAAATATTTGTTGATCTTGTTTATTGGTATTTATTATTTTGATATTATTTATTTAAAGTTTTTCAGTTGAATTATACATTCCGGGTAATCAACAGTTATAAGATACTGTTCAAATTATTATTTGTATTTGTTTTAAAGTTCAATAAATGGATGTTTTCAAAGTCAATGAATAATCGTATTTAATAATCGTGATATCAATTATTGACCAAAAATAATCGTGATTATGATTTTTGCCATAATCGCACAGCCCTACCTGAATCCCTATAATCGCTACAGAACTATAAAGAAATTCTGCAGAGCTAGACTCCAGTCTCGTCAACAATGCAAACTGCAGTTTTCCTGGAAATCAGAAATTCACAAAGCAATGCTTTTCATTTCTCCCACGTTTAATTCCTCTTGTTTGGCAGCCTGTCATGAATTACAAGAAAAAGAACAAATAAATTCCCAGGGACATTGTTCAGAAAATCAGTGAACAATGCATTTTGCGAGTTTTTTCAGGAAATGAATTCAGATTCTACACAATGATGCGATGGTATGGTCCCCATTTCCCTCTGTATTGTTGTCATTGTTCCTAATGATGCAGAAACACATTGTGGAACACAGTGCCCAAAGTTACCCAAGTAACATATTTGCATATGTCTTCAGAAGGAAATGGATTCATTGTAGTGTGACACCCCCACACTGCATTCAGTCTATTTGGATCTATTATTATTTGGTCCGTCATCTGTTAATAGTAATGTTACTGTCATCTTGATTTTTTTGTTGCATGTTTGTTTGGCTCTTTGAGGTGGTTTAAATAGGCATCTTGTATTTCTTTTTTGGTGGATGTGTTATTTTTATCATTTTGATATCTCCAAGCAAGAAAAACGTAACTGATTGTATCTTCAAACCTGCACATTGCTCGGTCACAGGGGTTTATAAAAGTGTTCAAACTCAAATGAACACTTCTCACTTCCAGACATGTTTTCTAGTAACTCAGCAGTTTGCTTCTATAATCTGTATCCTGTTCATCCGAGTTGAACTGTGCACCTAAAGTGAAGGATGTATGATGTTGAACACTTTCCACAGCTCAAAGAGAAACTGACATTGATGGAACCTGTTCGTAGTAATGACTGATATTACACTGTCAGAGTAGAAAGGCAGCATATCAAAAACGTTATCTGTGATCAGACTGTAAGTCTCTCAGGCTTGAAGGACACACTCACAATATTCGGTGCTTTTTCCTTCTTTTATTTGCCGACCTACATTTTATCCCTGTACTTCTTTTTTATCTTTACATTATTTTAGAACACAATATCACAACATTTGTCAATTTACAGCATTCAAACTGACCACAGAGGATGGAATACAAATTATAATTCCAGCTAATATAATCAACCGTTAGAAATCTCTCTGGCTCTTCTTCTGTTCGAGTGGATTAGGCG